GGGGAGGCTCCAGCCTCATCCAGCGATGCCTCTCGGAAGGATTAAGGAGAATTATTCCCGTGCGCGGAGGCACGAGCCGCACGCCAGGCCCCGCCATCAGCCCGGGCACAGCCACAGCAACAGCGCTGCGCCGCAAGGCCAATCAGCGCCCGTCCAGCAGGCCCACGGCGGGGACCCCCTGCCGGCGCCTGGGGCGGCAGGCAGCCCCCGGCACGGCTGCCTGCACTGAGCAGGGGCCGGGGGCCCTCCGTGCCACGAACCCCCGCCAGGCAAGGGGCACCAAGAGAGGCATCGCTGGGAGAAGGCTGCGCAGGTGCCCTGCACATCCCCAGTCTGCCCTGGACGTCCCCAACCTGCCCTGGGCCTCCCTGCATTGCGCCGAGCATCCTCAGCCTGCTCTGAGCATCCCCAACCTGCCTTGAGCACCCCGCTCCTCCCCAGGCTCCCCGCTCTGCCCTTGCCCATCCGCCCCCAGCCTCCCTGTAGCCCCCAGCTCTGCAGCTCCCGTCCCCGTTGGCAGTGCCAGGCCCGCACCGGCTGCTCGCACCGGGCACGATCCTGGGGGCGAGGTCTGGACCCCCCGACTCCTCAACGTCTCGGGTTTTCTTTTGTGCTGCACGAAGCACACGCAGCAGCTGCAAATCAGGTTTCTACCCGACTGCTGCATTTACGAACCTTGGGTTTGCTACAGCCAAAACCTATTGAAAACAAAGAGGAAAACGTGTCTAGGAACCCGTCCAGGTGGAATAAGAAAATGAAATGGGAATCTAACATAAGGTACCAGCACCTACTGCAAGAACAATTTAGTTTAAACCAAGGATGAACGTAAGCAAATAATGAGGTCTGTAAACCCGCTAGCTACAGATGATTTTCTTATTTCTACATTTTTACAGGTTATGCTCTCCCATAAGCTCTGCATATAAAGTGGTGGATTAATCTCGGTCTTCTGGGCAGAGAAACGGCCACAAATTCAGATTGCTGATATCCTTGGGTCTGAATGGGATGGCTTCGGCCCACTTAAAAACGCTGATGGGCTTGGGAGGGAGCACCGCGCTCTCCTGGCTGGCACGGACGGGACGGGATGGTGCCAGTGCCGGGGCCGGTGCCGCTCCCCAGGCAGCTTTGCTGGGGCATCTCCAGCCCACGGCCAGCCCCGCGCAGCGGCTGGGCACCCTGCAGCAAAGCGGGACCGGGGGGAGAGGGAGCAGAAGCCCTCCTGCCCTGGGTGCCGGGACCAGGTTTGGGCTCCTGCTCTGCTGACGGCAGCTGCGGCCGGACACCGAGGAGCGGCGGGGCTGTGTTGACTGCACTCGCAGAAAATCACTGTTTTGGTAAAACCTACCAAACTTCTGAGCTTGGAGAGGCTTTCTGCGGACTCCCAGCAAGTGCCCAAAACACACGTAACAAGCAGGGCTCCGGCAGCAGCAGGCGAGCAAGGCCGGGCTGTGCAGCCATGAATATATTCATTATCAACCAGCACGAGCCTGGTGAGCTCCCTGCTCGCGGCTGGAGCTTGGCTGCATGAGGAGCCCCTCTAATGAGGATAATTGGGAGCCCCCCTGCTCCACCCCCACGCCCTAATTGAAGCAGGTGGAACTGTAAAAACAATGTCACTTCTAACCGGTTTGATCTTTTGGTCGGAGAATGGAATATTTCGTTCTCCTTTTTAATCCCCTTGAGCTGGGGCTCCACGCGCTGGAGGTGGTGGAGACCCCAGCCCCGCGCAAGGGATGCCAGCAAAGCTGGAGAGCCCGATGGAGGCCACCCGCCCGGCGCACTGCCCTCCTCGCCCCATCGCGGAGGCCAGGCCGCGGCCAGGCGAGTGGCGAGGCTGGCGAGGAGGCCAGGGAGAAGCCGCCTCGTGCCTCTTCTGCAGCCTCGGCCTCTCTCCGGCAGCGCCCAGCCCAGGAGAGCGAGAAGCAAAATGGCTTCTTGGGCCGCAGTGCTGGGGGAGGAGGGGATCAGTCACTTATTAAATGAATTAATCAGGGCTCAGCGTTTTCATTTTGAAGAGGCTGCTGGATTATCCTTGATTTCTGTGGCGCTGGATTTGCGGAGATCAGGAGG